TCCTGCCCCAGATGACTTTACCTGCCACCTTAATTACCGTCCCCCTGGTAATTTTTTTTTTTTTTTTGGTACTGTTCTTCTCTGTAATGCTCTATGCATCCCACTGGCAATTTATCACTTTACTGAATGTTTAAATGATCCACATGTACCATGGAAATCAATGCAGATTATTTTTTTACAATGCCTTTCTTACATAGCTAATAGCTATGAGTACAGAATTATTAATACATTTTTAAGACATTCTAAATAATTTGGTAATGTTGCTTTTTATATATTGTCAGATATATGCTATTTTAAGTTGAGAAACGTTACAGAAACGCTTTTGTTAATTTGTGACCTTCAAGCAAGAACTGTCGTTCCTAGTTTTCATTTTCTCAAACTTTTGGGTTGCTCTGGCAAGTTTGCTACTGTGTGAAACATTCTAAAACCAGGAGAACTAAGGAGGTATTTAACAGTGGTGTGGCAGACTGAAAGTTGCCAGACAGCATGGCGCTCCTTCAGCTGTAGGAAGGCCAGCGAGAGGGAATGTCTGCACTTTTACAAAATATTCTGAAATAGGCTTTAAATGATTGGTACCTTTTTTTCTCTTGTGTTGCTTTGTTCTCTGCAGGGATTCCAGGGCTTTGGGTTTGGCGATGGTGGCTTCCAAATGTCATTCGGAATTGGGGCGTTTCCCTTCGGTATATTTGCAACAGCGTTCAACATAAACGACGGGCGACCTCCTCCAGGTACCACGCATCCTGCCTTCTCCGAGACTCCTGTCACAAACAGATGTTTTACAAACTCCTTTGTAACTTTTAAACAAATAGGCTGCTAAATGACAAAACTTTCCGAATGGTAAAGTAAATCAGTGTTGTATATAGAAACACAAAATGAGGGAAAACGCCCAGTAGAGAACATAGTCTGTGTCTGACAGGTTTTGTACGAGCGCTTATATGAGAAGCAAGTTTGTCGCTTCCGCGCGATTTGCTGAAGGCCCTGTTGAGAGAACAGTAGAACTGGGGAGGGACGGTGGCACTGGAGACTTCTCCCCTTTAATTCACATGTCTCCTCTGGTACTCCAGCGGACTCCCTCTGAAAGACGAGACAAATTGGACTAGAGTTTCTAATAATAATAAAAAGGAGTCAGTAGGGGTGTATGAAGGAGACCCATATTTTGAAAACAGCAGGAAAGGACCGTTTCCTGAAAGATGAGAAGGAAAAATTTAAGCTGGTGCGCTGTACCACAAAATAAAGACAGCAAAGATTGTTCCTTTGTCAGAAATTTGTCTCTGAGACAGTCATCTGTATTCCACAAGAAGTAACTTTCTGGTGAAATAATTTCACTTGTTTTAATTAAGAAAAAACAGTTGGGTTACCCCAAATAGTGGCCTCGCTCTCTAAAAAATTTAGTAATCCCCAGAAAACCTCCTCCCCATCTGCACTGTAGAGAAGCTGAGTCTACCTGTTTTGAGCAAGAAAAGCCACTGCCCAGGATGTTCTGGACTTCCTCTGTGAGAGGTTGTGCCTGGCCAAGCTTCTTCACCGTGTCATACGGCATAGGAATTGTGAGAAACAGAAACACATTCTTCGTGTCACACCTGTGTTGCCAAGGACCTGTGCTGCCCTTGGGTCAAATTAACTTGCTATTAACTATACTTCAGTGTCCGCTGAAAATTTGTGTGGAGGTGTGACTGAGCTATGGAGTATGTAAATATATGCTGTTGTAACAGCCATCATTTAACCAACTCCTTTATCTGCTTTTCATCCGTGGATTCCATACAGCACTTCCAGAAAGTGTGCTTTTCGTTAGTTCTCTTGGTCAAGGCTACACATGCAGCTTTGACCGTTTTACCATTTCCTTATTCAGAGATGTTTCACCTTGATGGGGAGGAGCGCTCAGGTAGAGGTGGTAACATTCCTTAGGACAGAAACTATGCACTTAGCTCGGCACTCGACAGTGAACTAAGCGGTGAACTTAGCGCTGTCCCCAGAAGTACTCTGAGCAGACCTGCCCGTACCCTGGCGCTCGGAGCTGCCTGCTGCTGTTAGCCATGAGCAGGTTTACCACGAGTCCTGCTTCAGGGAGCTGATGCTTGTCTTCCTTCTGATCTTCCAGTATGGCTGCCCAGTCTGAGGGTAGGAAATAGCAACAGTTTCTCAGCAGGTATATTCCTCTTTGAGTTTATTAACGTACTATGTTCAGAGTATACGCGAGTCTGGAGAAGAGGAAGGAGCTGAACTGTTTTTTTTACTTCCTGTTTTCCAGCTGTTCCAGGGACTCCTCAATATGTGGATGAGCAGTTCCTATCCCGCCTCTTCCTGTTTGTGGCGCTGGTGATAATGTTCTGGCTGCTGATTGCATAAATCTTTTCCATTATTCTGTAGTTTCATGGCCAACAAGGCCACTGAAACAGTTACAAACTGCATCCCCATCCCATTTTAAACCTCTTGGTGTCTGGTTCCGTAGCTAGCTACGGGCTTCAGGAATTGGTGGTACCACAGCACAATGAGGAATCTCGCATTTTGCACCAGAGTTGGAAATTAAACGTTGGTTAAGAAGCGTCTTTCAGCTCAGCTATCTTGTACAGCAGGTTCCTGCCACAACCCGCGGGCCTAGCTTTGAGCTCTGCTCCTAAAAGGAGTGCTGCTTTGAAATCCTGTGCCAATCGGTGACACCGGGTTTATGTGAAAGACGGTTGCCCCCAAGTAGACTGGGCAGGTAAGGGAGCTTCTGCAGCGTGATCAGTATCTCACGCTTGGCAACCGCGATGGACCTGCCAGAGCTGCGGATGTTACTGAGCGTCTTCGCATCAACACCCAGCCTTCAGGAAACCATCTGCAGCACTGCTGAGACGCTGGGCACAGCACGTGATGCAAATGGAACCGGGTTTGGAGACTGGTTTCGTTTCTTGCTGTTATTTCCCGGCATGATGGAAAACCCCTCCTGAAGCGGTTCTAATGGCTGTTAGAAGAAGGGATACGAATTTATGCTGCAATTTTTTAAAGCCTGAATTTGCTGGAGCCAGACACTGGAAGATTCTCTTGTCGTGGAGCCGGGTGGGGTTGCCGAACAGTTTGACGCACCGGTCTGCCTCACCCAGCCCAGTTCCTCACTGACAAAACAGTGTTGTCTTCCCTGGTTCTGTGCAGCAGCCCGTGGCTGCGCTCATGGAGAATCCCCTCCCACCTTGTCACTGTAGCTACATTTATTCTTCCTAAGGCTTTGAGACTTTCTACGCAAGGTCATGTACTCAGAATAAAACCCTATTGCAGGTCTGAGATCAGCTTGTTTGGGGAGAGGAACAACAGGCACCTTTACCTGAGTTTTGAGGTTAAACTCGTCGTACTGTAAAATTACACAGGAGGAAAAATGAGACCCTGCCTTCGCTAGCACGTGCCACGGTAGGGACCATTTGGAGGAGCTGCTCTCTACAGGTGCATACAGCTACTCCATGCCACAGCAGAATGGCTGCAGTGCAAGAGCCTCTGCGGTATCTACCAAAGATATGAATTTGAAGTGCTGGAGGAGACCACAAGCATTTATGTGCTGAGGGGAAAATACTTCAGAAGGTGAGCACTCTGTAGCCGTTTTGGAACCCTTTTGGGTACACAGCTTTAAAGAGTACTCCTGATGTATTCCTGCAGAAGAGCAGACACGAGAGATTCCCTAGCAAGATGAACAGTTTTCGTATTTCTCTGACTAGGCAATTCCTTTTTTTTTTTTTTTTTCTCTTATTGTTTTTAGATTCTTTTGATTGAGATCGCTGGTAGTCATAATGGTTTCCTGCAAGATGCATATTGGGACTTCCCTGGCAATAGACAGACAACTGACAAAACAAATCAACTCATAGAAACTGTGTTTCGATAGCCAGGGTTTTTCCAGGGTATGGAGGAGGTTCCTGGGCAGGACACCTTAATTAATTGTTGTAGAAGCTTATTTATGTAATTATAAACTGTTCACTTTTAGTATCAAGACAGAGGATGACTGAAGTTTAACTTGCCTACCTCCAAAATTCCATCCGGCAAGTAGAATGTTGCAAAGCTTCTGCAGTGTTTTGCCACATCTAGCCAAATTTATACCCGACTCGATGATAAATCTGGCAGAATATGTTGCTCAGCTATAAACAGTTGAAGTGGTGCTTCAACTTCTGGTGTGTGGCACTTTTGAGAAGCTTAACTTCTTCTGCATATGGTTCTTCTCGAGTGCGTAACTTAGCAACTAGGACCCTTTCTAGGAGCAAGGCTATTGATTGCGTTCTTACAGCAAGCGGCTGTAGGACGGGGCAGCTTTGCCTCCCCTTCGTGAGCAGGCAGCACCACCCGCTGATGGAGCGGGAAGGTTCACGCGGGGGTAAAAAGGGGTGGTTTTCCTTCTCCTTTCGGGGTTGAGAAACGCGATGCGAAGAGCAGAGGTCATCCGGGGAGGAGCAGGGTCTCCCTTTAAAGCCTTTTTCCGATAAAGAGGACAGAAAAGTGACTGTAATAGGTTCGAGAGGTATTGAAACTGGTTTAACTAACACTTATGTTTTAAAATACAGAATTTTAATGGTTTGGGTTTTTTGTTTTTTTTTTTCCATCTGTCGGCGAGAGACATAATGGATTTGGACGGAGGTGGCTGCAGAAACATGACTGAGAGTCCGTATTTTCTGGCAATCCCAGAATGAAATAGTCTAAAAGTGTTAACGCTTTTGTTCCTACCTTTTTCTCGGTGTGCTTTTTGTATCGTACCACTCCCGCCTTGTACTCGGACTGCACGCAGCCCGTAACGGCTCGTTTAGTGCATTACCATTACCGTTCACTAATTTTCACTGTTGTGAAAGTGATTTAGAATTAAAAAAAAAAAAAAAAAAAGGTTTTTCATTTACCGGAGCGCCCCCCCTTTCGTTTGTGCTCCGCGGGGG